AGGGGTTTAGGGTTTAGGGAAGTAGAGGGATCTGAATACTTAGCAGATATCTCCTTTACTGACAAAAAGGATGCACTCTCCGTTCCGGGTCCAAGCGTCTTCTCATCGACCTGCGAAGCACGGGAGCCCAGACCCCCAAAAGGATCTAANNATCTAAAAAATAGATCCCCTAAGGTGGTTCCTATAAAGTACCCTTTAGTAGTTAGGGTCCCAAATTAGGGGATCTATTTTTTAGATCCTTTTGGGGGTCTGGGAGTTGAGACGGAGCAAAGCCATGGGACATGAAGGTCGGAGAAAGTGTGGGACCCTGTGTATACGCCCTAAACCCTAAACCCTAAACCCCAAACCCTAAACCCTAAACCCTAAAACCCGAAACTCTGTAAATAGTACGATTCTGATATACACGGATCCTTAAGCCTGAATCCCAGAACACAGACCAAAGCTTTCAGAAACCTCCACATAGCCATGTTGCTCTCCTGCTTGGAGGCTCATGGGTAGTTATAAGTGGGGTTATAAGTCCCCTGAGAGGGGTTATAATTATAGTTACCCTACTTATAACCCTACTTATAACTACCCGTGAACCTCCAAGTAGAACAGAAAACAGGAGAAGCCAATTTTCTCGTCACATCTTGTGGTGGTGAAGCAATGCAAGCATGCTTGCAGCTCGCGCTCCGCATGCGTACAGCCCCGTCAGCAGCGCACTGACCCAAACCCAACCCCCAAACCCTACTTGGAGGTTCATGGGTAGTTATAAGTAGGGTTCTAAGTAGGGTAACTATAATTATACCCCATGTTAGGGGACTCATAACCCCACTTATAACTACCCATGAACCTCCAAGTAAACCCTAAACCCCAAACCCCGAACCCTAAACCCTAAACCGTGCCCCTATGCAAGCGGCCTCGGGCTCTAGATTGCCGATGAAGAGGTTTGCACCGACCTGGAAATTGCTTAAATCACTCATTCGCCAGCTACATTAGATCTCGCCTCGGGGTGTAGGGCTTTTAGGGTTTAGGGTTTAGGGTTTAGGGTTTAGGGTTTTGTAGCTGAGTGGAAGCGAGAAGGAAGCATGGTGGAGGAAGTCTATTTTGGCCACCACAGCTAGACCTCCTCTTGTGCCAGCAAATTGCGTCGTGAACCCGGGGGTCGTGAGAGGTTACAGTGTGAAGTCTCAATAGAACTTGATGCAGAAGTTCGTTCCGAGAGATGGTTTTGAGATCCCTATAAAACGCGAAACCCCAAGCCGTAAGTACACCGTACTGACCTGAACTATCCTGGGTAAAAAACGGGCCTTTAACAGGGCCCTGGTTCGGTTGATGGACAAAATTCTGCATGCCCCAAATATAGTATAGTACCATAAATCCCATAATTTAGGTATATAGGGTCATGCAGGATTTTGTCCATCAACCGTCGCATCTCCATGGACAGTCAGCTGCCTCGTTCGTCTTCTTGTCTTGAGAGGACTTGTTGCATCGAATGGGCTTGCCGAAGAGCCTCCGGGGATCAGAATCATAGCAGGCAGCAGAAGGGAGTGAACGTCGCACCTGATCATGTTCATGATCTTGATGGCGTAGTCCGCATCTTCTTCGTTCTTGAACTCTACGAAACCATACCTGACCAAGGAGAGAGGAGAGGTCAAGGCGGAGGTTGACATGGAACCGCAACCACTTGGAGGTTCATGGGTGGAGTTATAAGTCCCCTGATAGGGGTTAGAATTATAGTTACCCTACTTGTAACCCTACTTATGACTACCCATGAACCTCCCAGTGGGGGCTGCAATGATTAGAATAACCGCCTTGGGGTGGATTCTCCAGTCTAGCTAAGAAGGAACTATCAGTGAACCTTACGACTCTGCGAAAGAACTTGGAGGTTCATGGGTAGTTATAAAGTAGAGTTATAAGTAGGATAACTATAATGATGACCCATATTAGGGGACTTATAACCCCACTTATAGCTACCCATGAACCTCCAAGTACGACTCTGCGAACTAAACCCTAAACCCTAAACCGAAGACCAGCGCAGCTTCTTTTTGCTCCGAGCGCTCACGGCCCTCTTTTGGCAGTTTGGTTCAGGTCTCGTCCCGGGATCAGATATGATCAGATCTCCGCCTTTGGACAGAAAAGCCTGGATCTGACAAGCTTAGGATTCAGGGTTTAGGGTTTAGGGTTTAGGATTCAGGGTTTAGGGTTTAGGGTTTAGGGGTTTAGGGTTTAGGATTCAGGGTTTAGGGTTTAGGGTTTAAGCTTGTCTGCATCGAGCTGGGTTTTTAGGCTTTGCGGGTTGAGGGTTTAGGGGTTAGGGTTCGGGGCTGTAGGGGGTTAGCGTTTGGGGTGTGGGGCCATAGGTTAGGGATTTGGGGATGTAGATTGTGGATCGACTGCGCTAACTGCTATGGGCCTAATGGGCTCCATGTTGAACATGCTACTATAGGGCTGGTCGTGCGTTTTGACTTCGGGCTTGCAGTTTGAATGTATGACTGAAAGTTATCTTCCAGTCTGCACCCAGCAAACATTCCAAATCTCCGAAAGGACGGAGCCCCACTGACACTTTACCCTAAACCCTAAACCCTAAACCGTTTGAACCAACGATGAGACTGACAGGTTCCTCATGCTCGTTGTGGTCTTTTATCGGTCTTCCAAGGTCTGAGTCCGCATGGGGCAAAGATACCAATGCTCGGGCTGCGCAGCAAGACTGGGGCCTGTATGCAACTTCCACCTGGTGCTTCTTGTTCTGGACGACTGGAACGACGAGTCGAAATGCAAGATTAGCTGAAGGCTTCTGAAGACCTATGGGGGTGGTTGTCAAAATTATGGTCCCTTTTTGGGTCCTTACTATAATACGGCACCTATTATTTAGGGTACCCCAAAAGGGACCATAATTTTGACAACTACCCATGGGAAGAAGGTGCGACCATTGCATCCGAGAAGCTGAGAATCGATCCCGGACGATCCCCTCCGAGCAATCCAGAGATGCTGAATCCTCAGACTCAGCCCCTAAACACTAAGACGTCGGCGCTAGACCACCACCAAAACCCAAGCGCTTTCAATACCATCCGTATCCGGCCCGTGAAGGACGCTCCCGGCAGTTGCTGCAGGAGGTGTAACCGGTGTATGGATCATCCAGGTACGGGTAGCCCTCCCGGCGCCCACCTGGCGGCTCATGAAATGGGTTTACTTGGAGGTTCATGGGTAGTTATAAGTGGGGTTTCTAAGTCCCCTAATAGGGGTTATAATTATAGTTACCCTACTTATAACCCTACTTATAACTAGCCATGAACCTCCAAGTAGACTTCGGTTGAAGAGCTTCCGGGCTTCTTGAGCCATCTTCTCCCTATCCCAGCCAATGTCACGGAAGTGCGATGTAGAAGCACTTCTCCACTCTGCTGCAATCGCTTTGCTCCGATTAACTCGCACAGGAGCTACCCCTAAACCCTAAACCCTAAACCCTAAACCCTATACCCTAAACCCCTAAACCCCTAAACTCGCACAGGAGCTAATGAACAATGACAGCGCAGCTGCGGGTTCTCTACCCGTGAACGGGATTGGAAGCCGAAGGCTCCACAAACATCGGACTTGTTAGGGGAAACCTTCAAGGGACCCTTGGGGTTCGGGTTTAGGGTTTAGGGTATAGGGCTTTAGGGGTTTAGGGGTTTAGGGTTTAGGGTTTAGGGTTAAGTGGGGAGTCTAGGGTATAATAGAGCTTCTATAAGGCTTCTATGCGGTGTATAGACCTTCTATAAGGCTCCTATAACGGTAACTACCCACCTGAAAATGTCCTAGAACTTGTGCAAATTGGAGCCCGGGCGCAGTAAGAACAGCGCCAGGTCAGCATCCAGTGATGCAGCGGGCTTCCTTCCACAGCTTTCTCTCTCAGGACCATGTGGGTATCCTGAGCGGACAGACTGCGAGGCAAGCACACACGGCATTTAAAATACGACATCGTCTGAAATCGTAGACTCGCCCTTGCAAACACACCCTCAACCACAAGCCCTTGACTCATACACAGGCGGGGTTTCCCGGAAAATCGGTGGATGGGTTGAAGTTCCAGAATCCGCCGCAAACGCTAGCAAAAGGCACATGCGGCTCTACGGTGGTCGTACCGATCAGAAACTGGACGGCTGCCTCCAAGTTTCCGTCTTGCTCTTCCCTACAAGCATGTAGCCCATCTCCTCTAACTCAGACACGACGGCATCCTCCTCAGTGTGTCACTCTCCGCATCTTCCTGGACTCTGGACCTACTGTTGATGATATAAATCGTGCCTTACCCATAATAAGGACTATACCACAGTTCCCATAGCTTAGTTGTCCTTAAGGTACTGCAGGAGATCATCAACCGTATGCCTCCAAAGCTAAGGGGCATCCGAGCCGTCGCCACGCGCATTCGAGAGACCGTTGCTCTCCTGGATTGTGGGACGGAGGATACTTGGAGGTTCATGGGTAGTTATGAGTGGGGTTAGAAGTCCCCTAATAAGGGTTATAATTATAGCTACCCTACTTATGACCCTACTTATAACTAGCCATGAACCTCCAAGTAGGGTATGAGTAATGAAGGGGCCTAAATACCAATACTATTTTTGGGGGTTCCTGACTATGGTTATAATATCATGGGCCCCAATACCCTATTCTAATTATTGAAGACCGCTCCTGACTATGGTTATAATATCATGGGCCCCAATACCCTATTCTAACTATTGAAGACCCCTATGTTACTACCACACATAAGGGGGCTACAAGAGAATACTCGGAGTGCTTGCAGCATAGGCAGAGGATCCCACAGGCGAGGCAAGTGACTCGGGTGGCAATTTAGCTAATGGGCCCTTTCAACACCTGCGAGCAGAAACCCTAAAACCTAAACCCTAAACCCTAAACCGCTCAAGCCAGGCACAAGCAACAAAGACACTGAAACCCTCAACTTTTACTGCGGGTTTAGGGTTTAGGGTTTAGGGTCCTAAACCCTAAACCCTAAACCCTAAACCCTAAACCCTAAACCCGAGACCCTGCAGCCCAAACCCCCCCCTGAGCCGCAGTCGAATTGGATGAGCCATGGTCGCTCTTCTGGTCGCCACCAGCCTCGAGGGTTTAGGGTTTAGGGTTTTAGGGTTTAGGGTTTAGGGTTTAGGGTTTAGGGTTTTAGGTTTTAGGGTTTAGGGTTTAGGGTTTAGATTTTGGGCTGTCTGGCTGTCTGCGGGAGGTCTAGAAGGCTCGAAAGTAGCGTTTCCAAAATGATGGTTTTCCCTAAATAAGGTTTAGGGTTACTGACTATCAAAGGGTTGCTACGCGGACTACTATCAAGCTTACTATAAAGACTGCCAAACTCAACAAGTTCCTATTTAGGTCATTACGCGGACTACGATTGGGGTTCAGGGTTTGGGTTTTTGGTTTAGGTTTGTTGATTGAGGGTTTACGGTCTAGTTACGGTTTGACTGGGCGTTGGGTTTGGGGGGTGCGGTCTGGTTTTTTTAGGGCTACCAGCATTTAGGTTTTGAAGGGCGTGGCCTGCGTATTTCAAGCGTACCACCAAAGATGGCCTGGATGCAAACCTTAAGAACCCAAAACCTACTTTTTTGTAGGGTCCCTATAAATCCCATATAAGGGTTTATCATAAGAACCTACAAAAGAAGTGGGTTTGGGGTTCTTAAGGAATTCATGTCACTGGCTGCATGCATGGCCTGTCCATCTACTTTGGAATCCTTCGCACTAGCACTCCTGGGGGCTCCTTACGGCTGATGGACAAAATCCTGCATGACCTTAAGGACCCTAAACTATGGGAACTATGGTATATTCCTTATCAGGGTTCCTTATCACAATTATAGTTTAATGGTTTGTTCTAATTATTGAGGCCCCTATTACCTTGAGGACCCTAAACTATGGGAATTATGGTATATTCCTTATAGTGGGTAATGCAGGATTTTGTCCATCAACCGTATCAATCATACTGTTGATAGACAAACTTCTGGACCCAAATATAGTATAGTACCACAAATCCCATAGTTTAGGTATATATGGTCATGCAGGATTTTGTCCATCAACCGTAGTATAAGAAGATATCCACAAACCTCAGTCAATCAGGTCCCAGCTTTGTTTCGTTTCCTCTGGCATCTTAAGCTCCCCCACTGCGAAGTGTGATGTGGAGGAAAACAACACGTACGCTATTGAAGCTCCTGATTTCGAAGTCTGTCTGGAGGCGGACCTGCTTTGTTGGCAGTCGAGCCACAATGGTATGCCATTGAGCGCAAGATCTCCTTGAGAACATGGGGCGACACTCATGTGTAGCGGGCGGCTCATCCGTGGCGAGACGACCAAAAGCTAAACTGCCACTGCGGCTGAGGCTTCAGACCTGCAAGCTTGAAACGTCAACAAACTTAGGTTGTGTTTTGACTCAAGTGGTGTGCCGCACGACGCGAGCCTGTCGACATCAGATTGGACTCAGCTTACGGTGTGAGGTAGTTGACCCTTTCCAACCCCTGTCAACCACAACAGGAACACAACACCCGATAACCTAAACCTGTTGCATTGGATGCTGCGCTTGCGCTAGCCCAGGTGGCAACCCCAACCGAACTCGGAGAGAATGTTAAAAGACTTCGGTAAAAACTACAATGCTGCTGATTTTCTGGACCCCCATACTAATGCCATCTAGTGCTTGAAAGGCCCAGGGACCGAATCCTTGGGTTTGTGGTCTTCGAGTTCGATTCCCCTAGCATGCTGCGAGGCACGACGTCGCAACCTTCTGTGTCCAGCACCAGCACTTCGCAGCCGTGAAAGCCTTGTACTACAAAGTTCAGGGTGTTGGGTTTGGGGTGCCTCACCGGTAAGAGCACAGCAGCACACTCGTTCTATACTCCAGCCTCTTGCATGCTGACATACCTATGAGTCATGGCACCCATCTCCCTGGTCAGCCGTCGCCAACTCCAAAGCTGTACCTTGCTTTCCAAAAACGACAGAGAAACCTATCGGGCTGACTATTTGTAAGCGCTGCAACACCAAGGTTTGTTTCGAAACAGCATGTGAAAGCCTTGCGAAGGCTTTGTTTAATGGCTTTTTCAACCCACCGTCAGCACTGCCACCAGCGCAAACAGGAAAAAACAAGCCCTGACTGCATGACAAACCTCCTCCTGAATTCAGCACCAGAGCAGTGCTGCAGAAGGAATGCAGCACGAAGACAAAATATCACAGTCCGACCTATGTCGAAGCTGTGCCGTCGCCCAGTCGCATTGTCCCTGCGCAGAGGCACTGCGACCTCAACGTTGCTGCTCGGTCTTTGTCACAGACAGTACAAGTTCCCTGGTCAGCTGGTCAGAGACAGGAATCGAATTTCGGGCCGTGATATCACATCACGGCGAAACATATGCAGGAAGGGCCATGCAATGCCACATGCCTGTCAAAAAAAAGCCCCAACCCCAACCCCAAAAATCTGAAAGAATCCTATTGGCCAAGAGCTCAAATTGCAGAACTCTAAGTACAACCCTAAACCCTAAACCCTAAGTGTCATCTCAAATACAAACCCTTATGGGTTTGCCTGGATGCGAACCCCCGAGGCAACCGGCCTCCGCCTTGTCAACCAGTCGGGAATGAAAGTACCTTTAGGGTTCGGGTGTTGGGTTTAGGGTTTAGGGTTTAGGGTTTAGGGTTCAGGGTTTAGGGTTCAGGGTTTAGGGTTTAGGGTTTAGGGTTCGGGGGTTTAGGGTTTCGGGTGTTGGGTTTCGCGTGCCACCACTGCTAGCCGCTGGGTTGCGGTGGCTTGAGATTCGGGAACTTGAGGGACGGATGTGCCTGGAGAAGGTGCAAGCGTCCATTGTCCCTACTTGGAGGCATGGGTAACTCCACTTATAACCCTACTTATAACCCCACTTATAACCCCACTTATAACTCCACTTATAACTCCACTTATAACCCTACTTATAACCCCACTTATAACTCCACTATAACTCCACTTATAACCCTACTTATAACCCCACTTATAACTACCAATGAACCTCCAAGTGTCCCTAGCATTTTGCAGCCCTCGCTGCTCCAAGTGCGAGGAGATGGCACCGACGGAGGACATGTTGCGCAAATAGCTCATATCCCAGTCGTAGTGTTCCTGCCCAGACCCCCAAAAGCATCCAAAAAATAGATCCCCTAATTAGGGACCCTAACTACAAAAGGGTACTTTACAGGAACCCCCTCAGGGGATCTATTTTTTAGATCCTTTTGGGGGTCTGGGTGAGTCTGAGCACATCTTGGTCCAGGTCACATACATACATTACATATACACCTGCACACATAGATACACTGGCTTACATCCAAGAACCCGGAAGCATTCATGCATCAATGTGTTCATTCGTTCGTTCGGTCGGTCGGTCGTTCATGCATCAACCCATACATGCATGCATGCATTCACTCATTTCGTTTCGCTTCATTCCATTTATGAAACAGTTCATTCCTTCCTTCATTCTTTCATACATGTCTTTTTATTCATACATGCATACAGCATACATTCATACACTCATGCATTGATGCATACATGCATGCAAAGATACACACATTCCTGCTCTGGGAGGTCGATCCTTCCTCCGCATAGACCTTTGCTAGCCCTTACTTCCCCAAGAAGCCAGGGCA